GCAATAAAAAAGTGCAGGTTAGTATCATATTGAAAACAAGACATTATTATAATCAAAGATAAAGGCAATTTAATAAAATATAAGGCTCAAGGTATAATAGTAGGTATGAAGATATATAGTTTTATAGGTTACTAGAGTATTTGCAGCAAGGATAAGCGAAAGTAGCCAAAAGCTAATTATTAGAGCAAGATGAGGCAATCCAGAAAGCAATAATATACAGGTTAGAGGAGCTCATTAATTATTAATACAGCTAATTGACTAACCTGTACGAATTTAAATTATTATATTCGTCCTGAATATATCTTGTTTGTTTGTTTCATATGTACGTTTTTCTCCCTTTAGGCGAAGTTTTTGTAATCAGTGTCAAGAACTCTTTCGATAAAACGCTTTGATTCTAGTAGACTACAATTTTTCAACAATTCTATTTTCATTGCAACGGCTTCTTTTACAGTTATGTTGTAATATGTGTTCTATCTGACGGAACAAAAACGTGAGGATTTTCGTGGATAATTTATGACATACGAAGACAAAAGACTATTTTTGAATGAGGGCAGCAAAACATCAATAATTTGCATGATCTCCATCTAACACAAGTAACATATCGACGTATTCATGAAATTATGGCATTTTGAACGTTTCCTCATTTTAAGGTACTAGACTTTAAAATAACGCTTCAGAATTGTTATATTAGTGAAAGAAATTGAATAATAATATTATTAACAACAAATTAGCAGATAACTGAGGAAAAGAAATGAGGCAGTGCTTTCCAGACTGGTAATTGCTACCTTCAGCATTAACGTATGTGTATATATGTATTTACCAAAGATTAATTTGCGACTTAATTATAATAAGGCAACATATATTTTGATTTATGTCGTTGTTATATTTTTAGCTGCTGTTACTTTCATCCAGTTAAAATAATTAGAAAACAAAATCTGTTTCTATAGTCGCTATCCGAAATAATAATTAAATAATTATAAATAATTATAAATAATCTATACGTCACATGAAAGTAGAAAGAAATTTCTAAATTACAGTGCTATTTAATATCTATTTATTTGCTCAATTTTGTTCAAACATTGTAGTTGTTAAACAGTTTGAGATGGATAGATCGTGATATGTGCTGAAGAAATACTCGGATATATTTAACCAATATATTTATTAACAATTCTCGTTATGGACACTGTACGTAGAGCTTGCGATTACACTTGGCGGTACAACTCGACTTCTAGACGATGAGCTAAGATAGCGATTGAGCAGAGTGTGCGGTACAAGTTAAGATGAGGTCTGCTCAAGAGGAACTCTCTTTCTGTCACGATGATGCTGCGGAGGAGGAAAACTATGATGTCTAAGGGCACGAGATCATCCTCTATATACGAGATTATATACGAGATTAGTCCTATAGAAATTAAAAATTCTTTATTACTGATTTCATTACGTTTTGATGATAGTACAGGACAAGAATTTTGGAATCTGGAATCTTCTTTGTTGGTTTCATACATCTGATTTCCTACTGTTGGTGAGTGATTTTTGGACTTTTCAGACTTTTAGATTTTCATCACTTGCTCTGAATCCTTTAACAACTCATCATAAACCGGAAATTTCAAGGAATTAGTTAATAACAATCTACCAACCGGACAGTATACCTTAGGGGACTTCCCTGTTGGAAACTGTCTCCCTCCATCTTTCCCTAGATGAAAACATACAGGCAGGAAGATGGTGATCAGTACAAAACACGCTGATTGTTAACTCAAACTGGTAAAAACTTAACCATGACGTGTCAAATGAGAACTCGGTGAGCAAAAAGAAACAAGTAGAGGGGAATGTTTCTGAGGATTGCTACACGGCTCAACAACATCGGTCGACTAAAGTTGGACAACTCGACTGCGAAATTTTGCTTTCACACTGAACAATTGTCCGGGCTTCTCGGGATCGAGTTGACTTGGTAATGGACGAGCCTCTTGACGTCTGGACCCAAGATGCCCGTTTGCGCCTAGATGGACCTTGATGACTCGATCCAAAGACCATTGCATTGAGGGCACATTATCCTCCCTGATGCTGAAGATCGTGCCTTCCTTGATGCCGTGGTCGGCCTTGCTCAATTTATTGTGACTGGTCAACTCATTCAGGTATTCCCGATGCCAGCGATTCTAGAAATGTTGTTTCAGTTGGTAAATGTGTTATCGTCTGAAGAGTCGGTTGAGTGGACTGTCCCTGAAATCTCGCTTTCGCAGACTCATTAATGAATCGCCAATGAGGAAGTGGCTGAGAATGAGGATCAGGAGGTCACTTGGACCAGAGGAGTTTGGAGTCAGCGGTTTTGAATCCAGAATGGCTACAATTTCAACGATGAGTACTTTATTTTGCCAGTTTTCCTGTTATGAAGTTCATGCTAGAGCACTGCTCCACGATATAGCGCTGTATAATGAGTTGGATGCTAATGGCTTAATTGGTTCAGTTGTCATTGGAATCGTCGATCGTCGACATCACTGTTTACGCGTTCGTCGATGGCTGGAGGGTGATCCTGGAGACGAGCCCCTTCGTGACGTCTCCGACCTGTGTTTCGTTGTATATTTCCGATGACCAGACCAGGTGATGAGGATGTCGAAGAGGGTCTCGAGGATCGACTGTTCGACGAAGAGAAGGTTTGGCTGAATGTAACGGAACGAGACTTTGAGTGTTTGTCCTTATGCAGCATCGTGTTATGCCATTGTCCACACGTACGACATGGTCCTGCGTAACAATCTACCATAGAGTGCCCCTCACTCAGGCAATTGGTGCATAAGGATGCCGCTTCGACGTCTTTAAGGCGCTCGCTAACGGATTTCGCCTTGAAAGTATCACATCCCCAAATCTTGTGCGGTCCTCGGCAGATGGGGCATGTCTGTCTTGTCACTCTGTATTTAGAGACCAATTTCAAGTTGTATACCAGTTTCCGGAGGAAGTTCAGTAGATGAGCATACTGAGGCACTTCCTTGTCAGGTAACGTGAGTTGCCACTCTTGCACGATCTTTGCTGGTAATTTTGAACTGATCAGACTGATAATTATCGTATTTAAATTGATTGGCTCTCCTAAATTGTTCAATGAGTGGAGATTTTGTTCGACCGTGTCAACTAACTGCCTCAAGGCCGTTGGAGATGGTTCAGTTATTTTTGGAAAATTAACGATTGCGAGGCTGTGGCGAAAAGCGATGTGTCGTGGGCACCCGAACCTCTTCTGGCGAGGGTCAGTAGCGTCGCTGTTATTTGCATTGACAAGATGGTCACTGTTATCTGCTGTCGAGGAGAGAGTGTTATTGGACGAACATTTCGCAGGAAATCCGCTGCCTGTGGGTGTCGATGGGGTTGATGGTTCCCTGCTTTCTATGAGATTCCTTATTCGAGCAGCCAGGGATATGTAATAGCCAAACGCTTCGCGTTCCTCAGTATTCTCTTCTTCATCGAGGTCGTATAATTCCTCCTGGACGAGTCGGAATTGTTTCCACTCGTACTCGAGTTGGGCTTTATATCTTTTTAAAGCACCAACGTTATAATTGTTGGACTGTTGGTAATCGTCAATGTCTTTCGTTATGAACTTTATGTTGTCGAGATGCTGATTGCGTTTTTGTTGCAGGCAGTCGATGTTTGATGCGGTCGCCATGCTTTTGACGGGTGTTGGTGTTGTGTAAGGAACAGGAATTGACGAAACACTTTAAAGAGCTTACCTTGCTGCGAGATTTCGTCGTTCTTGGAACTTGCTATCTTGAAGACTGTGCACGTGTATCTGAAGGACCAAAAATGTTCGACCGATCGCGAAGAAGCTCGCCAACGAAACACGTCAAAGATGTGGTTGTACCGACGATAACACTTGGTTAACAAATTAAAATATGCACTTTAGTCCAACAATTTCTTCTCGTAGAACATAAGTTTTAGTGATAATAGTTAAAACGTCGACTGATGGTCAACAAATTGAGATGCTGATTGGTCAAGAAACCTGAAGCAACTAAATTCCTGTGACGATGGTCACGACTAGTTATGGGTGTGTCTAAGACCACCGGAAAGCGGATTTGTCAATGGCAATTTTCAGGAGGAAAGCGAGGGCAACGGTTATCCTTGCTAATTGGCTAGGAAAAAAGGTAAGTTGGTAAGGAAGGGTGCTACATGCCTCACAAAGAAGGTCGCTAGTGGAAGGCATCATACGTGAGAGAAACCAAATTTCCTTTACATTTGTACTTTACAATTTGTCCAGCTGGACATTTGGTAAATTTTTTTAGCTTTATTGCTAAATAATAAAAAGTGAATGTCTACCCCTAGTGGAATACCATCTTCGAATTTGTCTATTTTATTTCTTTAGTGAGGTCAGTAAGGTGTTTTCTTTTTAATCTTCTTTCTATGAGAGTTTCTATGCGATGTATTTTTCTGCGTAGTTGCCGATTTCTTCTTTAACCACTGACTATTGTTCTTAGTATCTTCGATTGTAGCGAGTCTAGTTTATTTATGTGCCTCATTGCTGCTGTCCCCCATAATGGTATTCCGTACGTCTAAATTTGTTTTATTATCGTTTTGTATATTTGTAATTTATTTCCTATGCTAAGTTTAGAATTTCGACTAGTTAGCCAGTATATCTGTCTTCTTATTATCCATATTTTGTCTATAATTGACTTACTATGTTGCTCCCATGTAAGTTGTATGTTAAGTGAAGTACTCGGTATTTGACTTGTCTTGTTTGTGTTATGTGAGTACCGTTCAATTGGATATTTTCAATTTTCTTTCCCTATTGTTGGTTTTAGACAGTCCTATATTATTTTCTCTAGAATTTTGGAAAACGCAGGAAGTAATGGCATTGGCCTGTAAGATGCTATTGTATAATATACAGATCTACAGTACTATATTGGAGTACCTGAGAAGTGAGAACAAAAGCAGTCAGAAGTTAATTGCTAGGACCAGATGTAGGAATTTAAGAAACTTTAACAGGTATTAACTAGAAAATTGCTAGCAGAAGTACGTATTATCTGAGAACAGTAAGATTATAAATAGAAAGAGGAAAGAGAAGTGTAATATAGAAAACGTATTATGTGACAGGAATGACGAGAAGATAGTTGACTGGATAGTTGACTGGACATTCCGTGACCTTGACACTGTAACTAATAAATACATACATATATATATACATATATAAAAGATTCACGTCTGAGATGGCACATTGTGCACTTCTACATTATTATAACAATAATAAACGTTCTGCAACACTATATTTTGTTATTATTAAACACAACATGCCTAGTCTATGGAAACGTTAATATTACTCGACGTAAATGAAATTTTGTAAAATGTGAATGTGAATAACTTTAAGCGAATCGTTTATTGAACTATTACGTTTTAAATTCTGGAATATAGAATTATATATTGTGTCAATTTATTAGTCATAATATTATAGCATCATTTTATAGTTATTCGCCCAACAGATCTCACAAAGGACATAACCTAACAAACACGATGATGGTACCCCGCTGGGAGTAGCCACCCACATGATATATTAATATACCGCTATAATACTTTACCAAATGTCTGGACAAATTGTAAAATTTAAATAAATAAATAAAAAAAAATGTTATAGCTATTGTATAGTTAATGTCGATTCACAGTTTGTAGTATTCAAAATCGTGAAGAACTCGGTATTTGGCTATCACGCTTAATTGGTGAATCTGTCAATGTAACGCCCTTTACAATTTTAATGTTAAATATCTTAATATATATTTTAATGTAATATATATTTAATATTAGTATATTTAATATTAATTAATATATATTTAAATTTTTTAATGTTAAGTATCTTGTAAGTCTCAACATTTTGAACAACTTTTTCCTGAGCATATAACCAGCGGTCGGTCTTAGTTTACGAGTTATATGAAAAACTATCTCGCGACTTAGTTTTTAAGCTGAGTTGAAGCGATTAAGCAAACAAATGCTGACCTTGCGAGGTGACGTGTTAAGGCTACTTCGTAATTGCTGTGCTAAGCCGTGTCTTGTTTTGCTCTGTGTATTCTACTGTTACCAACCTAGTTTTCTCGGACTGTTTTACATTCTTGTGAATAAGTGTCCTATTGAACTCTATTACACCTATAACGATTGCTGTATTATCTTGTGGATTAGTGATAGTGACAAACCTGTGACTTGTGTATCTTGTGGAATTAGTTTCTATCCGGGCTCTTTATGCTTGATGAGATCTGGTCACTCTTAGTCCACCGACACACTCATAAACTGTTCTGATTCAATCTCAACATCCTCAGATTTGCACGGATCGGATGACAATTCTTTATCATCATTATTCGATCGTCTACAGGCCTCTCCTCATGCTGCTTTATCCGAGATTAATACTAAACTTAATCTCTTCACCATAAGAATGAATCAAGGAAATCAAAGACTCAGCAGTCGCAAAATTAGATAATATTTCTATTTACTGAACTGTTCTGAGAGTTCCGATACTGGAATTTAAACTATTGTCGGCTTCGTCCTTTGTGGAGACATGTAAATACGAAAAACTGTATATGAAAATTCAGAAGAGAAAAAGGTTCAACAAGTTCAAACTTCTTCTATTTAACATTAACAAACCTGTTTTGCCTATGCCAGATGTGAATCTGAAGGTGGTGGAAGTTTTCAAAGTGGAATTGGTAAGTTCTTCTTTCATGGCTTCACATGGCCAATTCTGTTAATATTACCAAGTACGTATGTTTGTTATAATTATCTATTATTATTGTTTTTATCATTCTATATGTACGTATAGTGGTAATGGAATTAACATGAAAGAAAGACATTTAAAATGTCCTCTTTCTATATTAATAACAATCATAGATACTTGTTTGTAGGTTTGTAGTCCATCTAGCTGAAAGTAAACTACCATGATTAAATTAACTGAGAAAAATAACGATATAAGAAATTAGGGAAAGATTCCCAAATTTTCTTCTATGACAAAATTATAAACAAATATATTTCCATAAAAAGAATCTACCTGATTTTGTAAAACTACATATTTATATATCCAAACATTATTACGATTTAAGATAAAAATAAAATCACTATAATGCAACATGAAAACATGTGTAACAATTACAGAAATCTTCTTTATCGATATATGCCTCACGTGAATTATTAAACTCTGATTTTTCTGTAAACAGCGAGATGCAACGCAAGTTATAAACATGTGGTCGATAAACTTACTTTGTTGAAATACATATATGCATGGTGTATCTGTAAAAGAAACTTTTAAAGATATTTTATGATTTTGAAATTATTTAATTTACTAGTAAAAACCGCTGTAGCTTTGTTCACTCGTCTATTTCTTTATTTGTATGTGTCTTACCTCTTAAGCCTCCGAGAAATATTTGCGCGATACATATCGTGACTCCATCTAGCACGCAATTGCCTATCAAACGTCTCCCCTCTCTATCGGCACACATGCATTTGCACATGACTGTTGTTTAGTTCTCACTAATACTTCTTTCATAAATACTTTATCAAATGGCCGCCGTTTGTGAATAAAAGACGCTAAAATTAGTATCAAATTCCTAAGTTGGTATGACATTCGCGTTGGGCTACGAAGGTCCATAAGGTAATTTGTCTATTCTCATATTTCGTCTGTCGATAATATAGTAGTATTATAGGTTGCAGATTCAAGATCATACTGCGTTACAAATCCTAACAAATAGATCAAAGTGGTATGGTAACAACCGATTTATAAAACACAACTTCCGACATTAACCTCTTAGGCATTATGCGCCATCTTATATTACGACGCGCTACTATAATAACTCACTCTATTGACTTATACGCTCACCGTTTTTTAAACTAAATGATCATTTTCATTTGTCTTCATACTTCTTTTGCCCTCACATCGTTCTATAACAGTGTTAACAATATACAGACAGAATATATAATCTTCGTTTTTGATACGCCAACGTCAGGTATCAATCGTTGCTTTTCGTTAATATAAATATACCATTACTAGATGCGCTTTCTAACATGCCGATCCGTATCTTTATGATTTTTTAGAATGTTCAACTTCAAATTGTCGCTTCAAAATAGGAAACGAAGAGCAATTTGAAAAACTATCGCGCTATGAGTGTAAAAATTGTGACGTGGGTCTATGTGTTCATGATAAGTAAGGTACGTTGCAATTAAAATAAATTTTAACGAAAATCATGCTTGAGGTCAATTTTACACGAACTTTCTTTACAAATCTCCATCGATCCAGAGGTGTAAAATCGCCATACAGTGGTTTTGTACTTACTTCTTACAAGCCTTGTAAATATTTAATTTGGAAATTGTGATTTTGTTAAATTCTTTTGTTTGAAATAGTAATACATATTTAATAATGCTTCATAATTAATATTCTTTGTTTAGTCACTGAGTAATAATAATAGTTTAGATCATATTCTTTACCACAGACGAATATATCCCATTCTTAATGCATGTTCTTTAGCTTCAATGCTTTCACCGAAGGATAGTATTAAATACAAAATCTTAACTTATCGGTCGCAGCGTTCTATGGTCGTCACTTTGTAAACCTCAACTCCCGACATTAAGGGTCTTACCCGCTTCAGGAAGGAGATTTCCTCTTTGACTTACCAGTGATACAAAATTTTACAAATAGATAGTTGTTCCCAGACTAGTGCTGCGCCATGCGGCTAAGTGGTGAGCTTAACAAACATTAGCATATAGCAAGAAAATTAGGGATCTGCTCTGTGATAATAACAATATAATACAATATTATAAGATAAGATAAGAATATAATATTAATAAGTTTCTCCCCGCTGTAATTCTAATCTAATCCTTCGCTTTTATACATCATCCGAATTTTGTATTGAACATAATTTTAAATAATTATGCATAATATTTGCTATATTTCATAAAATGTTTAAAAAAGTATTGTAAAGGGGAGTGTTAAATTTCTTAATTTTTAATTTTTATTATTATGCAAAATTCTCGTTAAGCTTTGTGTGATGGAATAGGTTCTTTTCTAATAATCTGACGTTGATCGATAAAAATAGCGGTTTATTATGTACTATCATTTTGAACAGCATTCATCAGTACAGTTAAAATGTTATTCATTATTGTACGTACACTGAATAGTATATAAATATCGATTTATACCAATAATTTTAAAAGACTAATTTATATGAGTCAATCTTTATAAACATTTAATATCGTTAACATAAGATTTGGCACATTGAACATTTACCTAATATGATTTTTCTAAACAAATAGTGAGACCTTTCATGCTTGTGTAAGTATAATTATCTATTTTGCTCCATATTTCGTAATACTTTATATTTCATACTTTATAATAATGTGCTATTAATAATTTAAATATATTTGATTCCTCGAATCTAGATTTTAATAATATAAACAAAATAGAAAGAATAATTATTGCATTATATAACACAAAAGTTTTGAGCTAATATATCACATATCAAAATCCATATATAAATTATTTTCTCTCTATCCATTCTCTTTTTCTTCCACGCACGCGCACGCATGCACGCAAAACACGCACACATACACGCATTATTTTCATTGAGATGATCGAGTCACATATTCTTGATTAATAATTTCAATATTTCATGACAATTAGTGTTATTAAGAATATAAAAATATGTTAATATAATATTGTTATAATTTCATAGTATGGTTGTACTATCAAGTAATGCCTGTTATTACTTACAAAACCTTGGTTATGAAAATTATTTAATTCAAGAAAACTTAACATTTTTGCAAAAGCTTGCAAAAGATTTTTTTTAAATAAAATACTAAATAATAAGTAACAAAATTTACCAGTCTCTTATCTCATAAGTAGTTTGTTACATTGTTATATGACACTTACATAAGCGTAAAATGGCCTCCTATTCTAGACACGATTGTATATCACATGTAGGATCACAACACTGTTACGATTTGCATTTGCAGATAGATTGATTATATATCAGTTACAAAGAGTTTTTGTTAAACATTCAATAGTAGGGCACTTTAAACTTGAATTGTTATTACTATTAATTATCAATTGGTGCAATAGATGTAGAATAAAATCTTCTTATTTATGAGTGATTTGTCTACTAATACAATATTTTTTTATATACAGATATCAGGTATTTCTTTTAGGAAGCAGTAGCTCTTTTCTAGAGATTCATTATTCCATTAAATTGTAAAATATTTTGCTTACGATTAAAATAAAAGGAACTGAAACATTATCAAAATAATGTGTTTAAAAACTAATCTAATCTGAAAAATAGAAACATTTTTCAATCAAGATATATTCTTTAGAAGAATATTTCCTGTGTAAAATTTCTCTTTAGAAATATAGTATATGTACTTTTATATATAAGTTATTAGAACACACATTCATGTTTGAGACAACATACTGATCTATTGCTATATTCATTTAAAGAATATTTTAACTGTCTTTTATCTCTTTTTGCTTTTGCGATTAATTACATTTAAATTTATATTATATTTTTGTGATTATTTGTTCTTTTCTTCTTCATTATAATATTATGAACAAATAAGATTTCCTTATTTGAATTTTGAATAATTGTAAAACTGTAAATATATTTCTATAAGATTTAGAATATAAACTCAAATAAAATATAATGTTTTAAAAATATTCATTTTGGCATTTCAATTCTATAATTCTCAACTTGACAGTATATTGCTTTATATATAAGGATTATTACCTCTTTTCACATGTATGTTATAATTAGGATAACTGCCTAGATATTGATGTCGTGGGCTTACTGATGGTTGTTTTGTAATACTCGCCATTGCCCAACCCATGATTAGTTCCAAACCTCTGCACAAAGTTTGATATATAAACCACGGCCATGGTCTGGGATATTGTGTGACGATTAGTTGCATACCATGTTTTGTAGTCTCGGCTAAGAGACCTATATTAAAAAAAAGATTTGTAGTTTTTTACAGAAATTTTCCTTTTCTCAAAAATCAAATTTGTTATTTAGCATTTAATACATTTATGCCAGTAATCTTGTATTTTATATTAAATTACCGTATGGCCCAAAAATACGTGCTACATCTGTAATGCATAAAATGATTCCTAAAACCGCAGTTGCATATGTTACATTTAATACTTTTCGAATTTGCGATCTCCTAACTGCCGCTGTATTTTCTTCCAACATATGTAAAGGCGTATCGGATTTAGTTCTATTGACATACGCAATATGATTTAATATTGAATGAAGCGTAAAATCGCTATTCTGAAAAAAAAGTATTCAACCTTGTAAAATGATATAACAAAAGTTAATTTTTGAGACAAATATTAAAGTGAAATAAAAATACCCCAACTTTCCCATCGACTTTAGTATTTTCGGGAAGCAAATTAGTTTCGACCGTTATATCTTCAACATCTTCTTTCTCCTTTTCATTTTTCCAAGATAAATTTTTCTTCCGTAATTTTCCATCATCATCTTTATCTTTACTTTTTTCTGTCATTAGAGCTGCTTTTTCACTACAATCTGGTTGATCCGAATCAGATTCAGATTTTTCTTGTATCTCTATTTTTTCAGGAACTATGCTACGACCGTGAGTTGGACTTCTGCTCAAACTTCTAATACTAATATCACTACTTCGGCGATTTAAATCCAGTGGTTTGACTTGAACAAATTCCGAATTACGTCGAAAGGAAATATCTGAATTTCTACGTATCTCAGTTCGGGGAGTAAAACCGCTAACATCAGAATTACGTCTTGAACCTAAAATATAAATGAAATATAATTGAAATAAAAGTGTATTTATACTAGGATTGATAACAAATGTGTGTACGTGTGTTATTGTTAGGTTTTATTTACCTGTAGGACTTAGGTCCACGACTTTTGGCAATTTATGAAGATCGGTCGGAGGTAACATTCGCCTAGGTGTTCTATTCCCAAAATCGCTATTCCTTTTTAATTTAGCAGCAAATTGAGAACTTCTATTCTTTTCATGTGAAAAATCAGAACATCGTCTTAAATCTCTAATATTTCCTAAAGGTGTCACATTTTCTGAATATCTTCGAGACATCTTGTCCGGAGATCGTCTTCTATCAATCTCGGGTGAATGTTTAGGACTAAAGTCAGAATTGCGTCGACATTCCGATGTGAAACCATCCTCTTCATTTATAAATCTAACACTACACTCTGAATTTCTACGAGAGGATCTAGACGCATCACTGTTTCGTCTACTAGCTACTGAACTTCTACGGCTTGGACTAGATACTGTTATTATAGGTAAATTTGTCGCTGATGGCGTAGGTGTCGGGGGTCTAACATATACTTCTGGTACAGTCGACTTGGGAATTGTTTTGTCATCTTGGGATGGCATACTTTTACAAGGTGATTTGTCACATTCTTTTTGAACCTGCTCCTCTTTTTCTGTTATTTTCATAGGTTGATCTATGATATTAAAATAAAAGAAGTTTAAATATTAATTATTAAATATTAAAAATATATTGCTTCTATACCTATACTTTTCCATTTCTCTTTTACCTTTAGGATTTTTGTCCAAATCATTTGTAAGGGTTGCAGGTTCTGTTATTTCAGCATCCTTAATTTTGGGATTGAGCAAAGTAGGTACTAAGGCAGTGGCAACAGATGATGCCAAGTTATTATAAGGAGCTAACATTGCCAGTTGCATAATACCTAAAACAGCACTTAATATGAAATATTTAAATAGTTGCTTAATACCTATATTATCAATATAAGGTACTAAAAAAAGTTCGTGCGAATTCCTACAACAAAATACAAATATTCTGTGTCTTTTGTAACATAATTTTATTTAACAATATAATCACCATTTATCACTTTTGTGCATTTCTTCGTTGCAAAAGCTTCGATTTCTATTTGCAAGAAATGAACTAATTACTGATTTGACCACGGCATCATTTTTAAAATTACTATTTGCAAATTTAACATTGATCAAAATAGATGATACAGGAGACAGATCTGACTTGTAAGGAGGATGCGGTAGAAACTTCTATCCATTCCTTATTTTTTGGTGAGTTGAAAGAAGAACGAGGTCATGCGTTATTGTGTACATCTTCCCTGTTTCCGAATGTCGGATGAATTTTTTTTAATTGTATACCAACTACATAGATCAAACTTTTTGCTGATACGAACTTTATGCATTATATTATACAAATTACTGACCGAAATTTAATATCAATTCATTGGTAACCGAAAAAACTACACGAACCTTTTCGGATATCTAATAATAACATTACACCTTATAATATAATATCTACTATAATATATATATTACAATAGATACATATTATTAATACTTATTAATTAATTATATAAAGTCTTATTTTTTACCATAATTTTAAATAAACTGAAGTTAGCTTATAGAAACAAACCTTTTTGATGTGTATTAGAATTGTCTCTCATTAACATACTACTTGGCACAGATTGCAGTAAATGAATTATCTTATATCCTGCATGTAGAAATGTTAAGTACAATAAAATACTCCAGATAAGGAACACTGTTTGGACCACATATTTTGCTATATAACAATTATGGGAGGTAAGAGCAACGTCACTAGCAATTACAAAAAAAAAGTGTCCTGTTATGATTAAACTGAGACAAGATTCTTTCTGAATCTTCTCTGGTCCAAATTTAAGCTGGAAATATATTTTACTATATATTAAATCAGTTTTGTTTAATGTTCAATTTTTTCTAGAACACTAAAATTACCTGAGTTAATTGCAGAAAAGCCAGTTGTATGAGACTAAAGGCAGATGTTACACATGGAAATCCAACATCCCAAATAATGGAACCAATAATTTTGGGCATAATATTTTTAAAATTATATGGATCTATGAAGAGGCATGCTGCTCTTGATGCTCCAAGTATACATAAAAACATATTAATTGTGGACATAAAAGGCCGACTTGATATAAGAGACCTAAAAGAAAATACAATATTTTTCAATACATTTGTAGTTCTGTATATCTGGAATAAGATATAATTTCATACCTTAAGTGTAGAATAGATAAAAATGTGTAAAATGCAAGTACAAAGAAGAGGCAGGCAAAACCATATGTATGTAAAAGAAAAATCCATTTTAGCTCTTGATGTATTGATGTGATTGATGGAGTAATGATTAGTAATTTGTCTAAAATTGAAGGTGTTGACAAATTTGAAACACAATTTTGCCCTGGTATTGGTGTTGATAATGATATATTTATACCTATAGATAAAGTAAAAATGATTAAACAATTATAAGATATAAGTTGAGGGATAATTATAAAATTGATCCTTTTTTTCTTATTATGTCCCAGTGTTTAATTACATCTGTTATGGAGAATTACTTTCACATATATGTATTTTTTATCATAATGTGAAACAATTAATAACAGTAATAAAAAAAACAAAGGGAAAAAATATCAAAATATAAGAAGCAACTGACCACGGGTCCAATTAGTCAGCTTATCCATAATCTTTGGATTGAAATTCACAGCACATCACTAACTTTTTTCTAATACTTAAATCCTGTTAACACACAATCGAATTTTTTTTTATTCGAACGAGCAACTTATCGCAACAACGGATTTTGAAATGTGACTGCAGCAACAGGCTTTGCTTATAGTGTAGTCCGATTAGCACCCCTTCTCCAATTCGCGGATACCTACAGTCCCATCCGTTTCTCTCACCCTCTTGCTAGAAATATTGATTTTGCACAAAGGATGATTGGAGGGAGAATTCAGACTATCCTGAGCTTTACGCTTGTCCATTGTTCTTTAGAATATAAATAGAACATTACTAAATTTATCAAATTAATTCTGTTTTATTATTTATTATTATCTCTTATTGCAATCATGCATATAGCATTTCGATACCTAAAAACTTCGCATTTTTCAATTATAAATTGTCCTAAAACGTAGAATTGTCCTTTTCCTTCTTAAAAATTTTTTTGACTTAAGTTGATCGGAAATTCTATAAAATAAAAATTTGGTCCTTGCTTTTAGGATACCTTAAAACTTTCACAATTGTTTATTATTAACAATTGTAATTATGATATCAATTTTTGATTTTTATATACATATTCCTATATTACACATATCTAATATAACGATACATCGTTAATGAAAATTTATTTGAATCTAATATTACAAATTATCCATAGTAGAATCTATACTATTGTACATAATGGACAATGATGCAAGCTAACTGTATATGTATTTACATTCAAATGTCCTACACTTGATTAAACGAATCTTTCCGATTATTGCTATTATAAAATGCTTATGAAACACATTAACAAACGCGTGACAAACAGATAATCGTAAATTTATTATTTTGTACACATATAAATACATACATTGAAATATTGTAATATCTGATGCGGACCATTCATTAATGTTTAGAAGTATTGATTTAAAACAAATTTACCAAAGGTATTAACTATTATGAAAGAATTTTAGCTTAAATTTTTCTAGTAGTATAAAAAAACTTAGTAATATAAAGTTAATGATTAAATTAAAAAATAGCATTAAGCATTAAACAATTCTTTATTAGAATATTACATTTACATTGTATTTTCTTCAACTGAATTTATTTCTTAGATATTTTACTACACATTATAAGCTTATTTACTTTAATAATAAACTTTTAGAAATAGTAAAACGGTAAATACATTTTCTGCCTGTGTACATTTGGTAATGGATTATGATGAAAAGTATGTTATGACCTTATGTATGTAATAATATGCTATAGAAGTTAATGAAGTTGACATGCTCTAACTGCAATTAATTGCAAAAGAATAAATAGGGGGCTCAAAACTTCTGAATATTCTAAAGGACTTTGTCCTGATAGCTTTCTACACAGGAGATATTTAAAAACAAATATTAAGATCAACAATATGAGACTCCATAATCCTCTTAAAACAGCAGCTTTGACCATTCCTTCCATATGCATTCTTATGAAAATAATTGCACAAAAATAAGCATTCAGACCATCAGCAACAAAAAGTGGTGAGAATACTATCCACCATCCTGTATTGCCCAGGAAATAATTTTCGTCCAATCTGAGAGCTAGTAACACTGAGAAAATTGTTAATGAAACTAAATTTATCCACATTTCAAAAATGGTCAGTCCCAACCAATGTTCTAATTCATTTAAAGTAAATATCATTTTAAAGCAATGAAAAATATCTAATTATAGTATCTAAAAATTATGAAATATCTAATTATCAATTTGATTTTATGTTTTCATTTATTATATTATCAGTTGTCTTTTGTTACTTATTGTAAATTGTTTTTACTAAAGAATCTTGAGTATTTTTTAGAAAGTTATATTTTATTCTTGATATTTAAGGGTACGTAGTGAAAATTTTCGAAACACTCGAATATGTACTGCTGAGTTTTTTCGATTAATTACTTCATAACCTGCGTTATCATTAACAGGTTCAAAATCATCTGGAATAAATAAAAAATTATTTTAATATAATGTATAATATTATAAATATGGTTTATATCTTTTATATGTAATATTTATATACCAATAATAGATATCGTAGAAGTCTTGACTTCTAATTCTATGCTATCATAATGATTCTTCTTTAATTGTAGAGCCAAGCTACATGCTCTTTGTACAGCAGCACCAAGACCATGAATAATCACTTCGGAGGTACCATTATTTAAGTGTTTTTCACATCTTTTTAATTGAGCCTTATATTATGGAAATATAAAAAAACAATTAAAATTAAAGAAAATGATTGTCTTACAATTATTATTTCACTGATGATTTACATAACTGTATAAGGAACTACATGCACTTATATTTAATATAAAACTTCAAATGTATAAATTCAACAAATGGAATAAATTCTATAATTGCATATTTATGTTTTGGTCAGTAGATAACATAATAAGAAATTTCGTGATAAAATCTGTAGGAATGAGACTTTATTCTTGTACTTATTAACAATTAACAATTAATAGTGTTAAAAGTAAAGGTTATACGTTCATGCTAAAAATTACCTTAAAGTTTGTACTATTAGTAATATATATATCGTTATTCTTCCGTTTCTTCTTTGTATCAAAAGGTTGTCTCTTCTTAATAATATAATCAGAAGATAATAATTTTTTACGTTTCACTGTAGGATTATTTCTCTTTCTTGGAAAGTTCACTTTTAACTTGGAACATTCGTGTATATCGGCCATTCTGATAAATACTACACGCGACTTTCTGTTGATTTTTTATTTGTAAAAGAAGAATTCAATTAATAAAAATATTTTTTTGATTAAATAAGAAAAGACTATTAAACTGACTATGTAGACATTCAGAGGTAATTTTACTTATTGGATCAGTTATGAAAAAGAATTATAACCTCGAAAAGCAACGGCATCGATTGATGGGCGTTTTGAGTGCGATTTAGTGCATCGTACCGGAAAGAAGTGACAGTCTTTAACCTAACGTGAAATACGAGATTTATACACTATGAAAGAACCAGAAGTGGACCCGAAAAATATTATAAAAAGCAGAGAACTCCTTTACAGGCTTATGATCAGGTTACGTATTTCTGCTTTTGCACATATATAAATTATTTTTTAGTCATCTGAAGTAGTGAAAGTAATAGTTTTCTAAAATTACTTTATTAAACTTATTTGCGATTTGCAAGTACTTCAATATAATTCTTTTTAAATAAATTGAAATTTATTAATAATGTATAATAAATATTTTAGCCAATTGTTCTATGATGGACACCAGACATTGGCGGTACAGCTGTCAAATATAATTCAAGCAGAACCTCCATGCCCTCCATCCGATCGTTTACTTCATTTAATGTTGATTGGTCTAGCTCATGAACCTGATCGTTCTAAAAAGGACACGAGTAACTTATCTTCTTTCACATCGACTTTTGATAACACTTTGGGACCTGGTCTAGATTTAGAATTTGAAACAGAAGCTCAAACTCAAGCACCAGAACCTGCACAATATGAGACTGCCTATGTAACTTCCCACAAAGGAAACTGCAGAGCTGGAGCATTTTCTGCAGATGGTCAGTTGATAGCAACTGGATCAGTCGATGCATCAATTAAAATTTTAGATGTGGATAGAATGCTAGCTAAATCTGCACCAGATGAAATGGCACCTGGTGATCAAACAGGTGGTCATCCAGTTATAAGGACATTGTATGATCATTTAGAAGAAGTGACATGTCTGGAATTTCACCCAAGAGAGCCTATTCTTGTATCTGGGAGCAGAGACTTTTCTATTAAGCTGTTTGATTTCAGCAAAGCCAGTGTTAAAAAGGCATTCAGAACTATTACAGATGCAGATCAGATACGATGTTTATCTTTTCATCCTACTGGCGATTTTTTAGTTGTTGGAACCAATCATCCAGTAGTCAGGTTATACGATGTTAATACAGCACAGTGCTTTGTCTGTAGCATACCAAGTCATCAACATACTGCTGGAATAACTAGTATTAAGTATTCTCCCGATGCAAAAACTTATGCATCAGCTGGTAAAGATGGAAGTATCAAATTATGGGATGGTGTATCAAACCGATGTATAAATACTTTTGTGAAAGCACATGATGGCTATGAAGTATGTTCAGTGACTTTTACGAGAAATGGAAAGGTTTGTATTAAAAATGTATACTTGTTATGTAATAAATTTGTGCATTAATACATAATCTTATAATTCTGAATTTCAGTATTTACTGTCATCAGGGAAAGATTCTTTGATAAAATTATGGGAACTGTCTACTAGCAGATGTCTAATAGCATATACAGGTGCTGGAACTACAGGTAAAATACCAAAACATTAAGTGCATCCAAAGTATATACAAAAAAGTTAAATTAATTCTTTCTTTGTTGTGTAAAATTATATTGTATATGTATTGTGATTAATTGATGGTTTTTAATAGGCAAACAAGAACATAAAGCTCAAGCTATTTTTAATCACACTGAAGACTATGTAATGTTTCCCGATGAAGCGACAACATCATTATGTGCATGGAATTCTCGAAATGCATCTAGGAAACAGTTACTATCATTAGGACATAATGGTCCAGTAAGACTGATTGTCCATTCTCCAACCGCTCCAGCATTCTTAACATGCAGTGATGATTTTAGAGCAAGATTTTGGTTTAGAAGAATGCCCACTCATTAGATTGGAATTTAAAGAATCAATACCCATCTTGAACATAACAAATTTAAGTTTGGTAACATTTACTGTAGCTTTTGATATGATTAGCAGAATAATAATCGTTGAAACGTTGAGAAAGAAGTATCGGATTGCGAATGATATCCAAAAAATTTTGTACAAACAATCTTAAATGATCAAATGATTACTTGCTGCGCCCTGAAGCGACAAACGTTTATTCATTTAGCGTATGTTATACCTAATTTTATATCAAATGTACTTATTCATTTCATTTTGCTTTTTTGAAGTAAAAAAGACGACAATTTTCACCGATGTCAGTGTTACGAATAGACGAATTCACATAAATGACGCAATAGTTTATGCGTCTATTAAATTATCGATTATAAAAATTGAAAATTCTTTATTTTTCATGTTTACAGATAAGTAGTGCATCAAAAAGAAATGTATTACGTTATACGAGCAAATGTATTCCGGTAAAATATTCGGAAGTATGCATATGGAATGCATGCTAGCAGTGCATTTTGTATTACCTTTCGCTTTTCGATAATAACGCCGGAAATTCAGTAACCAAGTATTTTCGTCGTGTTAAAAAAAAAGTTATATAATGGATTTTATCGATAAAATCGAAAAGAATATCAGCAGATAAATTAACAGTTACGGATGATGAAGAATAACAAAGTAAAAGTTACATGAATGAATTTAAAATGTTCCATGCGTTATGCGTCGCTACGTGTCAAATTACTCGGTTAATCGCAAGGCGGCGCTCTGAACTCCCGCTCTGCGTTTGACGATGTATCACGTGACCCACGCTAACCGCCATCTTTGCTTATCGTATAAACAGTGCGACCGGGTTCAGCACGAATTCTTGTTGAGAAATTGTGGTTTTTCCAGTGTTTTTGAGTGATTCAGTTGCGAAGAAATGTCGGAGATCAAGGCGGAGAACAAGAACGATAACAATATCGAGGATGTGTCAAAGGTAAGCAGAGGGAAGCACGAGAAATATCTTCATCAAGCCGAGTTTTCATGCTAAGGCGGCGTGTTGCGCCCCTGAAATACGAAGAGACGCTCGTTCTCTCGAAAATTCGATAGAATAGCTTGTGCTACGATAAAGAAATGTCATTTGAAAAGTGATTACGTGAAACACGAAGCTATACAGCTAAAATGCACGGACGCTTTATACCGCGTAGCTACAGGCTCAGTGATTTTTCAAAGCTGCGCCGTTTGTCCTTCATTAGCAAAGATGGTGGATGTTTTTTATTTGTAACTCTCGTGACGAAGGGAGTCGCTGGTTAATGGCAATAAGCCTGTACAAAAAAAGGCGGGAAATAGATTTTGATTCTAAGACTGTCTGTCATACGGCTTTCTACTAAAACTCGCTCTCATTTAGGAACATTGTTCGAGACTACGACGCTAGAAATACATATCGACTTGGCAAAATGGCGGGAAACTTAAATAAACCTGCTATGTATTCTCATATAGTTCAACGGTTCTTGATAATCTTATCACGGGTGTAATTATCATCACATTTATGCGTTTTTCTGTTAGTTCGACATAATCCTTAAATCGTTTACCATTTAATTTGTTTTCACTATTTTACGTTAAGTTATGATTACAATTATGAGACGATGAATTTTTATATATTTCATCGAATCTTCTTAAAATGCAGCAATTATTTATTTTCAGGATCATTCAGCAGAGGAGAAACCCAGCCCAACGAAAAATAAACGAGGAGGCACGAAAAGACTCTCTACACTAGAAAGATTGGCTCAAGAAGGAGAGCGAGTCACAAAGGTGCGTTCTGTCTTTTTTTCTTCGTTTATACCTTCCTTTCTTTATTCTTTTCTATTTATGTATTTTCCTTATTTTTTTTAAATTAGATTACACGATGAGAATTAGGTTTGTCCAAAAATTTGTAAATGTTCCCAAAATTCAAAGAATCAAGATTTCATCCCTTTATTACTTCCCTCTATTTAGTCTGCCCGTAAATATTGTTTGCCTACGTGAGGAAAAGGGTGTTAAGAGTGGGGATACAAAGGGCTGGAGTAGGGGCAAGGGGAATTCTCTCAGGTGGGGGAGGGAGACAGAGAATTTCCCGCTAATACACGTCGTAACCGCCAATTATGAAGTCATTCATATTTTTCAGATTGAATAGCTGATTCTTTGTTGTTACTCTAATTATTGATATACAGGGTGGTTGGTAACTGGCGGTACAAGCGGAAAGGGGGTGATTGATTTCTAAAAAGAAGTCGAAAATATAGAATAAAAATTTTTCGTTTGAGGCTTTGTTTTCGAGAAAATCGCCTTTGAATTTTCGCTCGGTACGCGTGCACTTTATCACGTCTCGTTATAACGAATCTCACTGTAGATCGTTGTCTCGATTGACGTTATGTTGATAAACACTTCCAATGTGACCGAAGTGTTTTCCTACCTATTAACTTACTATCCGACTTTTATCGCTATCCACTATCAGTACCTATTAGTCTACCATCATGTCTACATACAGCAATCGGGAATATACGGACATGATACTTTCGTTAGGTGCGTGTGGTGTTAACGCATCAGCCGCAGCTGATCATTACAGACACCGGTATCCCAATCGTCGACATCCTGACAGACATGTTATTCAAAGAGCAGAACAAACCCTCGGCGAATATGGTTCTTTTGAAAAACTTAGACGACATGTATATGTAGTATTATGTCTTTTCACATTTCTGTGTTTGATCTCACTTTTACGTTATAGTTGTAGTAAGGATATGTACAAATAACATGAATTTTTATATTATTTCGCTAGAGTAAAAATTAATAGGTATAGACTAAATTACGAAAAGAAATCATGTTATTGTTTAATTGTGCGGGTAGTAGAGTACGCTGTGCATTTTAGTCGTATTTAAAAATTTTCATTATTGTTGTAAGAAGCAGATTTGTTGTAAGATATTATTTGGACTATGCTGCATTCAGAGTTATGATTAATAGTGAGTGATCTCCTATTGCAGGATTTGAATGCATCTGTTGGAGAAGTTGAAGGGAGGAGGCGCACACGTAGTTCAGCACGAGGCCTAACCTCATCAACACCTGTGCCATCTCCACCTAAAAAAGAGAAGAGGGATACATCAACAAAAGGCACTGGTCGTGGGCGCGGGCGTCCTAAACGGCAAGAGAAAAATAATGACAATAATACAGATGAAGAAGCAGCTAACAATAAAAGCGAAAAGCATTCTGAGGAAGAATCTATGAAAATGGACGTGGATGAACACAAAGAGGAAACAGAAAAATTGGCGGATAGCGAGGACAAGAGTGTTGCGAAAACTGAAAGTAAAGAGGCTTCTGAAAAGGCGCTTGACTCTAATTTCAAGGAGGAAAAAGTTACAGAAGAATCGGAAAGCTTCGCAGAAGAAAGCAAGAGTTCTAGTGTCAGTGAAGAGAAAAAGGAGGAAGACATAAAGGATAGCTCGGATTCGAGTCAAGATGCAACAGACACAACAACAGAGGCACCACCTTCATCTTCATCAGAGTCTCAAAATCCTTCTAATGCTACTACTACAGAAGAAAATAAGGAATAACCTCCTTTCGTCTGTTTACCAACTTCATGTAAGCACTTTTTTTTACAATTGATTCTTTGACTCGTCATTAGCATTGGTTAGACTTTGGTTGAATAAAGTGAAAAGGAATGAGAATGTATGAGTGTTACAAGAAAAATATATAACTATTTTCATGTATTTACACTCCTGAACTTTTATGGATGTGCAAATAACTGTAATTATTGCTAACGAATATAAAAATGTGCATTAATTATAAGTATACAATTTCATAACTATATGTGTTATCGTTAATCATGACATATGAGACAGGAGATATATTGTTTTTCCATGCATTCTCAGTCTTTTCGATTAGTATAAGAGTACATAGTATAAAATTATTTAACAACACGAAGTATGAATGGTATAAAACTTGTATAGATTTTTATAAATTTTAATAATGTCAGTACATGATTAGAAAGCAAATTGAATCATAGAGAGCATTGTCAAAACGTAATTATAGCTTGTTTAAAAGCAAAGAATTTGTTATAAAATATTGCTTTTACTGTAGCAGGTACCAGGGCGGCGCACACATTGGGGTTACAAAGCCAGTCCCCTCGTCTATTTTAACAAATTGACACCTTCTTGCCGATCGTTATTCTAATCAGCGTGCACGAGTATTATTTTTCTTTTTAATTCGCAGACGAAATATTGGGATATGTTTTTGCTATACATTCATTGCCAGGATAAATATATGTTTAATTAAGGTATTAAATGGTATTGAGTGTACCATAGAGTAGTTGTTCTAATGTACTTTTACTTCGGTAAAGAGTAAAATTACTCGTGCACTGATTAGTTTACGATGCAAAAACAAGGTGTAGAGCGTACGTTGTTCATGTACAATGATAATATTATTGTAAAATATATTTAATATGGACTTACATAGACAAGTTGTTTTCAAATCAGAGCTGAGGCCGGAGTCTTTAAACAACAGTCTTCAATTCAGATCTGATATGGAAGTAGCTAAAATTAATTCGTACATAGTAAATTACTGTAATACCTTATCTTATATAAATAATGACTGAATGAAATGGAATATATGAGAATTATGGTGAAACGATTTCTCTTTTTTCATGGTATGCAGAAATAAATTTTCTGAGAAACGCGTCGTGACGTGATATCAATTCTCCTTCCTCGTACATTGTTACTAATAACAACCGGTTTTTCGATTTTTCATATTTTCAGTTTCCTTTGTATTTGGCAACTAACACTTTAATAGGATATGCTTTCTTTCTATCGTTCAAATTGAAAAAAGAAGAAAATGAAAAGCAACAAAAATATTGTATAATAAATTTATGCATATGTATTTTTTATAGTAGAATTTCTGTAATGAATGTAAATCTTTTTATTAAGCACCGTTTTCTTTTCATTTAATGGTCCAATATTAAATATGTTGATATTATTGTGTATTTGAACGGTTGTGAATGTACAGATAGATTATATAATTCATTGAACTATATATAATTAAAAGGTCTACAGGTTTTAACGAAATACAGAAATGGAATGATAAATCTAATCGTTAAACGCTCGAACGTTCGAACATGTGTGCAATTAAAGAAGCAGTTTGTTTTGATCGCGCTTACATATCTTTTAGATCACGCGAATGTAAAATAACTTTATCCTTCTCCTCTTCCTTGATATTTGTTGCAAAATTTTCGGATAAATTCTGAAATAGTTTATCGAGTTTATTTCTAACTCAAGCGTTATTCAGATAATTGACAGAGTTTGTAAACAAAGAAAGAAAAAGAAAAAAGGTAGAAAAGAAAATGGTTTTAGCTAAGTTGCTTGCTTCTGATAATTGTATTGTAAGGGAAAATAGGATTTGCCATTCCATGTATTTTTTCTTTTTCTTGTAAGTAGCACGACGAGACAAAGCGTCGCTTTTCGCGAGAGATTAAAATCAAATGCGATACGCGTGTATATAGTTAAGGTTAAGCTTCGTGTGTGGCAATTGATCTTATCTTCGACGTGGTAGCGTGAAGGATTGGAACGACATGTGTCAGCGTGAACATCTGTTATAGAAAATATAGAAAGTCTAGCTGAAACATATTTTCTACTAATTCAGTTAAACACTAATCTTTATGATACATATTACGTTATAAATTAGAACATTTAGTCCTTTTTACGAGAGAGAGAGAGAGTAAACGGTACATTTATTTTATCTATACATAAGTATGTAAATGATTAGCATTTATGAGAAAAAGTGTCTACGAGGTTCGATATTAGAATTTTTACGATACGTATGTGTATATATACATAAACATATACATACGCATATATATATTATATATATTTACTATTTTAGCTGTGTATTATTCTTGTTATAAATTAGAGAATTCTTATCAGCCTGAACCTTATACTTCAACTCTTATAAAGGATAGCTAAAGGAAGTTCTTTTTCGGTTTGAGAAATTCAAGAGAATCATATTTTTACATGAATAACTCGCGGTGAACGATAAGCAGTTGAGAAAAATAGATTATTGAAAACTTAAGTTTAATATTTGTCATTCTCGGTAGTCGACACCAATAGACGTTTTCATATTACTGTACATTTATTGTGCTTTGATCATATTTGGGTAGTTCAATTCGAAACGATGTGTGCGAGTATGTGTAAAATTTAATCCTTTGATACAATCTGTACTACAATTTGACGAACACTTAACAAATTTGCAATTCGAAAAGAAAGAAAAACCATCAAAAATATATCCATCGAAATGTGATGTGTCAGATCTTGCAGATATCTTAGAGAAGCTAAGAGAAGAAGAGAAATAATTAAAAAAGTCGTTATTGATAAATCTATTTGTGAACAGATATAAGATGAGATATAAAAACGGAATATGCTTTGCTTAATAGACGTGGTATACAAGTTACACGAACAATATGTTCGTTTTCGTCGTGGAGAAATTTATAGCGTCTCTATAAATGGAATTTAGAGATTTTCGTAGATAAATTATATTTAAATTAAACAATCGTTTCAAAGCTGGATCTGTAAATATTAATAGAAATCAGGATGAAAGACAATGATTTTGTACAATCAGTATATTAGTTTTGATAAAATTCGATATCTTTTTTAAAAGTATTTTACGAGTGTATAAATATTTCTCACAAACGTTAAATATTGCCTATAAAAACGGAGAAAAGATTATGACAAATAAACAAATTTTAAGCATACTCACGTTATCGTATCGTTCGATGTTGAATACAGTTCTTGCTATCGTAATTATCAACAGTCAACAATGTCGATTTCACTATTTAATCGATTGCGTTTAGTCACCAGATGGCGAGATCGCAGCGCTTTACAAATACCGCGAATTTAAAAGCGAAAGAAAGAAAAATGCGTGCAGAATCAATAATTCGGATTATTCACAGAATTTGTTTAAAAAGAATAAACTCTAAAACAGATTGTAATAACGGAAAAGAAAAATTGAATATATCTTAAAAGGAAACGAAGCAAAAAAAGAAAGAGGAAAGAGTTATCATGCTTGTTTTCGTTTAATAGTAGAAATTCTATTTATACCCAAACAAGAACTACAAAAACATGATTGTTATCATCAGTTACTATAGAGAAATTTACACGAACAACAATTTTTTAACCATTGTTATTTTTTTAATTAAGTTGCAAAATCATTTAAAAAGTTCTACAAGAAGAGAATGGGTATCGGGTGTTCATGGCAAGTAATCTACGATTCGACGAAACGAAGGAAATCTTTTGTTGTTTTGTTATCTCTTTATTCGTTGTGCTTATTCCCAAGTGTAATACGAATTTCGTGTTTAACCGGATTATTCATCGTTCGTACTCCATTTTTTTGGTACATACATACATACAGTATTGGCACAGCCTTTAAACAGAATTACTTTTTAAAGATTAGACTTAAACGACTTGAATCTTGTTAAGAAGTTAAAAGGATTAGTTTATTAGAAGATGCGTAAATTTTTTTTTCTAAATTGCAGTTGATTGGAAATGCGAAGAAAATAATAGAGATCACTTTTTAATAACATTCTTATTTGGGCCTGTAATGAAAATTTAAGTGACATATTATGAAAGGTTACGCCATCTATACATACACACGTTGAAAATTTCATCGAAATCGGTTAATATAGAAATAAGCAATAGGCATCAAAAAATGAACAACAATGTAGATTTATTTCAGATATAGGCCTAAAGTCGCAGAAAATTGGAATTTTCGTCAGTTTTAACCGTTTGCAGGTTATAGTAACGTTAACCGATTTCGATGACATTTTTAGCACATATACAATTAACATAAATCCTATAAAGTATACTTTTTAAATTTTCATTACAGACTCAGATAAACAAGTTGCAAAAAGTGACCTTTACTATTTTTTTCAAAATTTTTTTATGCATCATCTAGTAAACTAGTCCTTTTACTTCTAATAAAGATTCAAATGGTTTGGCCTAATTTTTAGAAAGTTATTTTGTTTTAAACAGTGTTTCGATGTTTTCGTTCATGACCGTATGTATACATGTATAGGTGTTTCAGATTAATGCGCTCGCCGTCTTTCTAATGAAAATCCACTTCTTTTTCTTAATTTCTCGACGTTTACGTTGTCTTTGCATCAAAATCAATTAACCTTTAGTTCGTGCAACATTGTTGATCTGCGCGTTTTTCGATGATCCATAGACCTAACTATATATATAACAGATATCTACTTAGGTTGGCCTTGACTTCGATGGACGAGCGCATGATTGTTAGGCCTCGTTTTCACTGAAGCAACAACGATCAACTTTCTGCTGTCTCTCGTCGCTACATTCCAATACATTTCCAAAAAACAGCAACTTATAGAAACATTCTATCCACACTGAAGCATTATGCGATAACTTTTTCAAGAAACATGGAATATTAATAAAAAGTTGTTCGAAGTTGTTTCAGTGGAAACGAAGCCTCCCGCTCGCTATTACGAACAATCGTTGACTGATATTTTAATGTCTTTTCATTTCTTCTATATTTTCTCTACTATGAGTCATCTTTGCTTCTTATCTGTATGAATTCTGTTTCAGCTTTTTGCAAGAAATGTGTTTTTCATTTCGTCCTTTTACTACATTTGCCATCGTTATTCGAAATACAAAAAAAAAACCGATAGAAAGACGTGTCGATAAACTAGAAAGATAGTTGCAAAATCGTTCCGACATTCAAATGCTTTGAAGTAGTCAAAAAATTATTCTATAGCAGATATGTACTTGTACGTATCTTGGAACAGGTGTACGGAATGGCAACGTTTGTACAATGAATCGAATAGGAGCGTTTGACACGAGTCGCATCGTGTCGCGTTGACGACAAGATAAAAAGAAACTGTTTACGAGCGAACGAGCGAAAAGGGGTGCGGCTCGCTGCATCGGCCATCGCGCTGCTTCTCGATAATTAAATGTCAGATAGCTAGGCGAGACAGCGAGACATGACACGTTGTTTTCATCGGTCGGTCGTGGCACGTTTACATCGGTTATATAGTTTCCTTTTCTAATCATAAAGATATGTCCTTAGAGAGGCTTTTATTTTACGCTTTTGGTTTAAACTTCTGAACGCACGAATCCTATGAAATCGCATAGTTGAGTCAAACGCGAGTGGTTATCGACATGGCGATCAACGCGACGGAGTTCTTTCGCGAGTTTGACATTTTCTCGTTGAATATTTTGTGTGAAATTGAGAAAATTAAGAGCAAAGGAAGTGACACAAATTTGGACCCAGTAACACGACTTTCGTTAACGATAAGAGCGCGTAATTAATGAAAGTTACAACGTTTGATTTAATCGATAACGCCAACGCGAATGAGAAGAATGATGCCATCCTCTGCGGACTTTTCACATAAAGTTGTTAATATTTGAGCGAAAGTTGAGTCGTTGTTCATTGGTTGGCAGAAGCACAAGATACAAGCGTACCAAGTATGTATATGTGTAATTAGAATCTTTGGTATTACTATTTCACTGGTGACAGTGTTCGTGTTTATTCACTGATCGGTACAGATCGGTACAGATCGGTACAGATCGGATGCGTTCGTTGTAGATAGAACTTGGCTTTTCAGTGTTTACAGTTTACAAACAGTTACGTATTAGATGCTTACCATCTCCGAGAATTTCCTGTTCTGTGTAATTCACGCAATTATCGAGATAACGATAACGGATTGCGGCGAGCTCACGTAAATTAATTGTCCCTGCAATTAGAGCGGTGACAGCATTGATTTCGAGATGGAATAGGGAAACTGGACGAAGGGGGCCGTGGCGTGGTCGCAACGAAATCGGTAATTAGTTTAACAAACGGATCTTGTTTCTCGACTAGCCACGACTAGCAGACGAAGCGGTCGATTAAGTAGGGAAATAGTTCACGAATCGATATGCCTCGGTATTCCACAGTTTTTATTGGATTTCAAAATATTTATTTCCTCATAACTACATGCGTTTACATTTACAGAGTGCTGGTGGTTAGGTGTACTAATGCGATCGCATAGGTGATTACCAAGTGTTAATTACATCGCAGGGAAATGACAGCCGCAAAACCGCCGTGAACGCGTTCCCGAACGCGCTTCCGAATGCACCGCGCCTCCGTTCCTTTCATATTGGATCGATCTTTTTTCATCTTTTGTTCCTCTTTCGTTCCGATTTTCTCCGTAACGAGCAAATACTCACATTACCGAAATGCATCGTCCGGAATGCCGCATGATTTACTCTCTGTTCGTTGGCGCTAGTTGGCGTTCGTTGCTGGTTCTATGCGATTTAACTCTTTTTTACGAAGATCGAGAAAATAAAGTAGTTTCGTAAAATGGCTCGAAAAATAAGGCAAAAAAAGAGGCATTCGTGTATGCGACGAGAGACGACATCGCGGATATGTTAAAAGTTACTCGTACATCTACTTCCAATTCGATCTGGTAAAATTGTGCGGAGTAGTGCGGAGCGACGCCGTTTACAGCGTGGCATTCGACGTGCACGGAATGCAAGGCTTGTGAAATCAACAACGATACGATACATTGACGCGCGACTATCTTCACATAATCTCTTTGCGTCCGGTGGTCGTCTTTATGGCCACTGACGCGATAGACTCGTGAAATTTGATCTTTCCAGTTCCGCTGGTTTGGAACGGCGCGCGATATTCGCTACCGCTTCCTGCCACGAAAAGCCTCTATACTCAAGCGCGTTCAGCTCGCAGGCTTTGAACGCGGCCACCGGAAAGCGGAAAACGTAATTTAAAGTAAATTACGACTGTTCTCTCGCCGTTTCTTTTTCTTCACGTCCGAGGTCGTTTCTCCTGAACTCTCCCTTGTCCGTGCTTTTTTTCTCCTATAATCGAATAAATCTTTGACCCAAGAAAACAGCACAGCAGAAAATCGTCAAAGTTCACGGTGATATTTAGCTTTAAACGTTTGATATCTTTGCAGTGTTTTCAACCGTTCTCGAGCAGCAAATGAAAATCGATTTTGTTCGAAATACGTCTCAGTTTCGTAAATGTAATAGAAGAAGAGGAATATCTCTCTATCACTAGAGAATCATTTCGGAGAGAGCGAGAGATACGTTTGGATGGAAAATGTAATGGAAATCCTTTGTTTCGATGGCCCTTTATTTTCATCTTCGTTGGTGGCTTCGTCCGCAAAAGTAGCCGAAAATTCGTGGATCTAGACCGGATCTGGCGCAGGTGCGAGCAGTTGCATGCTGCTGCTACTAGAATGCGCGATCTGTAAAAATAAACGGTGTTGCGATACGTTTGTTACATTTCCACGCTTAACACGATTCGTTCGCTGGATACGTTCGAATCGCGCGTGAAATCACTGTGAAAGATTAATATCGATTAACGACGATATAGCAGTGGCTGGATAAAATTCGTTTGATTCTGCGCGACAATGTAATGTTACCAGCCAGATACCGAAACGAAATAAACACACGATGAAATCTATTTTTGAACATCGAATAATTCAAGTCAACCGAAAATCTCGCGTCGACGAGTTATGACGCCACAGTCCGAGGCTACTTGTTGGTAATTTCAGCTTGTTTAAATTGAAGTATTTTTCTTAACAATTATCGTATCGAAATAATTCGGAAGCCAGCGACAGAAATTTTAAGCCGATTTTATTAACATTTTTTTTAACGTTATTCTATTATTTTGGTGCTATATATAAATAAAGAAAATGACAGTTTTCTAATACACGCGAAACAAAGCTCAACAGGAGCGTCTTAACTATGTGAAAAAGGATAGTGTCGTTGACTAAGATCATTAACGACGCCGAAATAACTTTTCTCAACTATGAACATCATGAAATAAATGTTCAGATAAAGTCGCTCTACTACATTATCTACAAGACAAAGTCTATCAGCCACTTGAGGAGATGAGGCACGCCACAAGCCACGAAGGCTACGAAGAGCACGACAAACTTTTTCTAGACTAAAATCAGGAGTTACTTCAATGAATCAGCTCGAAATCGTTTTGTCACTCGCACGGCGGACACCGACTAATAAAGCATATTCACTATGAAAAATATTTTTACAAAGTTAAGAAAGTGAGTCGGACAAATCTGTCGCTAACTGTCGGACTATAACAAACTAAACACAGATCGGAACGAGCGGTTTTCAAAAATTAAACACCTTTTGGGGAATAGAGAAAAGAAAAACAGAGAGGATAGAGATTTACCTGTTGTTTTGGTTGCTTGTACGATTTCCTGGTGTAGATTTTCAAAACTCTGCAGTTGCACGCGACGGATAGCGCTACAACTAGTCCCTGCCGTATCGATCGGTCGATGGATCATCCATGCAAAGAAAAGAAAGCAGAAATGGCATACATGTGTGATATTTAACGTTACCGATAGAGGTTGCGAATCCCAAGCGAACCGGAAAAAGTTTAGGTGCTGTGTTTGAACTTAGTCTATGGACAGACCGAACACGAAGACAAATCGATCCTACTAGCAATTAGTGGTGACGTATACTTACGTGTATCGCCCACGCTTTCCAGGAAAACGTTAAAACAGCTAAAAACCAAAAGTGGAATATCGTCCGGGAAGTTTGCTGAGAATTGAAGGACGAACGTTTCATTCGATATGCCTTTGAATCGTTCGTTTGAATAACTTTATTGTTCGTCTAAGCAGCATATAGCTGAACAGATTTTAATTCCGTCGGATCGCTCGATAAAGTTTGCAAGAGTTTCATTCGATGAACGAACGTCCAATTCCAGTGGAATGTTAAATACACGTACAATTTTTTAATCTGCGTGATAATTACCTTTTATTGTCAAAACTAATTCAAAAATATTCGAGTTACCGTGCAATATAAAAAACAATTCGTAGAAATCTATTTTTTCAACGACGTATTTGCGTTTCGCTTTCATTCCCTTGCTGCTACTGTCACGCGATACTTGCAAATAAAAAATGTTGTTACCAGCCAGAGGCGATATTTTCGCTATGAAAATTTTACGATTTTTCTTTCACGGGGTATCCTCTGACACCGAAAACGCTAACTCCAATTGCAACTACAACTACATATCTCTTTTGCGCATGAGATCAAGTAGAGGCATTCGCTTCGTTTCATATGAATAATTCGCTTTCGTATGGTACGGACGTTTCCGCGTTTACCGAGCGTTTGCCCTGAAGCTCACATAGCCCGATTTTCAACCATCCTTTGCTGATATTTCAAAGCATTCTCTCTGAGAAATTACCTTAAGTAAATGCGTTTCGAACTGTCTAATAATACACGCTTTCATTTTGTTGAAGCGCGTAAATCTTTGACGGAGGAATACCAACTATCGCACTTGCACAGAAATTATTAACAAACGTTCTCAAACTTTTTTTAATTGAAATTTATTCGACATACGTATACGTATGTATTAAATCGCTGAAGCTAATTGTAAAGCGGTCACTTACCGAATATCGATAAACGCGTCGTAATGCGGCGCGAGGGAATTTTTAGTTATAAGTCCATGCAAAAAGACAGTGGAAGGGCAAAAAGCGTAAGATAAAATGGCGGAACGTGGATAAGAAAAGAATAATCGAGGTGAAGGGAATTGAATATTCGATTAGAGAAAAGTATGTGCAAGGGAGGCAAGGGTCGTCTTCCATTGTTCGATCGTTCTTCCATATGGAAAAGTCTCTAAGTGGAAAACATTTGATACTCGGGCCGCATACGAAGAAAACGTCGTTGAATAACCGTTTAAGACCCGACTCGACTCGACTAGAGTCTCGAATGGCTATTGATGGAAACTTCCAACGTGACTTTTGTAGAGAGAACTTCCGCCTGCTGTTTATCGCACGGTTACGCGCTTTTTTACCTTCCAATCGTTCGGTCGGTTTTGTTTTATTCAAACCATATAAATCTCGATAATCGCGAAATCGAACTCGATCGTATAGAAAAGAAGAAACTTGGCAGCCAGAAACCGATAAGAAGATTGCTTTTCCAACAAAACTAATCGTAGGTCAAAGCCGCACGTTCTGTTTTATCGAATTCTAGTAGAAGACTGTAGCCAGAACTTTCCAGTTAGATATTCCAGTTAGATAGCAAGATCGTAGATATATCTTTCCATAAGTTGTAGTATTTATTAGACAATTATTATTTTACCTGCAAAGAATGTCCAGTACAGAATACAGCCCAGAGGAAAGGGACTTTCCACACCCTGGACGCGACTCCACACCCAGCTATGAGACCCACTATTATACACACTTTTAAAAACAGAATAATTTGCAACGCTCTCCTTCTCTTCATCTTCTCGCGTTGCTTAATTTCCAGTTGCATGCTGCACGTGTATCTGCACAAAAGAAATTCGCTAAAATATTCGGTAATCGTTTCTGATCAAAACAGGAAACGAGCAGAATTTTATTCGAATAACAGATAATAAATAAATACAAGGAATAAAATTTTATCAATGAACAAATTATTTATTTTACTAATGAACAAACATCCAGTCGAATAAGTAAATACTTATTTAGATAAATATCTAAAATTAATAAATTAATTAATTATTAATAAATATTATTATTTAGATAAATATCTAAATGAGAATTTATTCGAACAAGCGATTATTCGTATAAAAATTGAATTGGATAACATACTCAAATAAGAATTTATTCGAATGAAATTATATATTGTAATATAAATATTTATATATCATACGTATTTTATATGTATGGACAAAATACTAAAAGTGAAATATATTTTTCAACTTCATTGTCCAATTGTTGTAGTATTGGCTCTTATAATTCATTTTTCTCAAATGTCGTAATAGAATATTGTTCCACGGTTAACTAGTGATTTATTAATAGTAAAAATTGTACTAGTATCTCCATCAAATTAAGTACACGCAAACAATTATTCGTATTATTATTCGAATAATTTTGTAATCATTATTCGAATACATATAGAAAACAATTACCCAGATAAAATATTCGACTAATATAGAATTTGTTTGGATAATTATCTTAGACAAATATCTATTCGAGACAATGCGAACGTCGCTCAACTCTGGTTCGATCAAAATGGCCGCGAGTGAGCGTTGTAAATTACGACGAGATTTCTCGTTGCTAAGGACGATACGTTTACACGTCACACACAGGTCTCTACGCTCTCTACGCTTGTAGAGGAGTGCCACATTTTTCGTGTCGATCCGTAGATCGATACGTATTGTACTAGTGCGAAGGATGCGCTGTTGACCGTTGAAAGATTAATAGTAAATAAACTTGAGAGAAGACTGGATTTGCTCCACTGAATTATACATGGCCGCTAAATGGAAATCAGCCCGAACAAGCACTCGGACACATCGTAACCAGTGAATACACCATACGTTTCTTTCTTACTGTCCACTTTTCAACACAATTTTTCCTAAACCGCAGATTTATTTCGAGACGACGCATACTTTTGGTGAAAAACAGTTTACCTGGATACAATCGCAGCTTTGATTAGATAGTAGCCGGCGGAAAGAAGCAGAAGGGCCACTGGCAAGCCGTACGCATAAATCGTTGCCTTCGTTCCTAGAAACCTGTAACAGATTATATTGTGTTTGTAACGTCCAAATTATAATATGCAACGCGTCGAAGTATGAACGCTCAAAATATAATATCGTAAGGCATCTGGCATCCAAATTTTAGTATTGCAACCTGTTTATTTGGATTCGTGTCACACTCAGTGGAGTACGTACGAAAATTCAATAGTTACGAGACGGAAAATCGAGTAAAATCACATTTCCATTGCTCTTTTCCAGTTGCCTTTCGGTAGCTGAAAATAGGAAACGATGGAACAATAGCAGAGAAGATACAATGAAAATACGATTGTTCAAACTGGAGAATTTCGTTCTTAAAATTTCGCGACGCTCTGCGACGGAAGAGGGAAATAGGAAAACGAGTTTTGAATATTTAGTCGAAAATCGGAACGAGATCGGAGACGAGATAAAACGATATCACATCGTTTCTATATCGTGACGTTTTTAATTCGTTTCAAAACCATAGCTAACACTTTATTGGGGAAATTAAATTTCAAAGAGTATTTGCGCAAGGTTCGACGTAGCACGACAAACCGATAATTAACATGATGGAAAGTTTTGTTAAATCTAAAAAAGTTTCTCTTGAACTTGTTAAAATAAAGCATGAATTTTTAAGATGGTAATAGCCATGAAGACGTAAAATGTTTGCCACCGAAACGAGGTGTAAGATGGCCGACGTGAAATTTCAGCGAGCAAACCATGCCAAATTTTAGTTGGCCTCGATGATCATTTTATTTCGAAAAATGTTATTCGCGTGCACGTTCGACCGCCATTTCGCTATCGTTTCTGTGTCGATTTCTCCTCGTAAAACGGTAAATCGTAATTCCAGTATGGGGACGTGTAATAACTTTTACAAGTTTTATTTTACAACTTTTACAAGTATCAGCAATCGTCGGGTCACGTCGCGCCAACTCGTCATATTTGAAACCCCATAACGCAACTTCTTGGAATTACGTGCAAATAACTTCCGATAAATGTTCGAGGTTTCTGTTTTAGACGAAAACATGAAAGAAGGTAGGAAAAAGAGAAAGAGAAAAAAAGTAGGATGGGGAGAAGAAAATATACCAGCAATTGAATGGTGTAAGATCCGCTATGTTCCAAATGACAGTCGCCTCACGTATCTGTAGGAAAGTGGCGATGGCCAGATCGAGCAATGGTGTACCCCAGGCGAACAGACTGTATTTCAGATAAGATGGTGGATCGTCGCGACGCGGGATCGAAGCAACGGTTGCGTAAAGATGATGACACATCGCAGCCAGCCAACAAACCACCGTCATCCGAAGGTACTGCAAGCTCAACTCCAGAGAAATGCATAGCTCCCAATCCTGCGAACACCGAGATCTTATTTTCTTCTATTTTCGTTATTCTTACAATTAATTTCGTGCAAAGAGCGACAAGAATTTTACAATCTATTAGGAAGAGGATCCAATTCGTTTAGCCGTCGGTTCGGAATGATCGCGAGAAACAGATTGCAAAGCTGCTGGTTTATAATCCAATAGGCAGTGAACGTTTCCTGCGTGACACTTTAGTAAACTTGATTTACTTCACTTTTATCCTTATTTTTATGTTTGAGAATGCTAAAATGAATGTTTGTTGCCAACCTACCGGGACAGAGGCCGACTGGAAACATTTTACATTGCCAAAAAGATTCGTGTCATAGCGACAAGGTTGATGTTCTGTTTGTTCGTAATTTATTATATAAAAAGTGATAAAATGACAATTTGCCAGTTTCTCATTGGGGCAACCAGCTTGGCGGACGTAATAAAAGTGTCGATTGCTCGAGCGTGTAGGCCGTCGTCCAAGACGCCCACTTGCTAAGCCCGTATATTATTATTATACGTTTTATTATTACACGCATATTATTACAAGTTTGACTAATATTGTCCCAATAACACACTTGAAAATTGCCACTTTATCACTTTTTATATACCTAATTGTCCCAATAATACACTTGCAAATTGCCTCTTTATCACTTTTTATATACCTAATACATTATAAACAAACGAAAAATCAGCTTTGCTGATATGACAATTAACAAAATGTCAAAATCTCAAACATTAAAATAATAACGAAGTCGATGAAACATGCTTACTGAAATCAGACGACAAAATGTTCACTACGTCGTGGATGTGAGGTGGTTTCTGTAGGACGTGTAGGGCGCCAAAGAAATACTCGGCGTTTTGCTTGACAGTATATTATTAACACGTTTAATGACTTCGTTACAAGTCTCGACTCGCGACTTGTGCGGGCGACAATTTATTCACAATTCTCGTTTTCGACTCTTTACGTACGACTCTCAATTTCGACTGACCAGTCTCGCTTCCCGGTCACAACTCAACTGTTCCGTTGATCCGATTCGTTCCTTTTTTATCACCTCTCAATATCCCCCCACACACGCGTTCGTTCCAACTATTCGTGGAAGGAACGTAGAATTATTGATGGCTCATTAGGCCTGTCGACACTTTGTCGTGACCTTACTTATGTTTCGTCGGTCTTTCGAAAACAGTCTGTCGACGATTCTTTGACCGACGGAACCGTTGGAAAGTTCTTTGTTGTCGAGTGCCACTACAGATTATTAGAGCGCGGACGGAGAATCGGCCGAATATACGCGTATACTTTTCTGCAAAAATCCGACAAGACTAACTTCAATCAGAAACGTGACATTGTCGGAACGAGATTGCGTCTCCTCTTTCGGCGTGTCCGTTTTCGGTCTCGGGGATTCTCCTAACGATCAGTTTTCGAGCTTTCCGCTTCCAACAGATTGGCCCGCTTCTGATTCGCAATAAAGTACCAGTGGAATCTCATTTTTCGCGATCCTGCATTATCGATGGAGCGATCAACTGTCTTTCGAGTGACCGAATCGGTTCGACATTCTCGCGATGCGCCATTACATTGTCTACGTCCCTCGCGAAACATTCGTCGAAAGCATCTCGTAAAATTAACTGGATCACTGAATATTCTTCAGTCGGAGATCGGGACGATATTCTTTAGTAATTTTTATTGGAACGATCGGCACGATGTGACGTAGCTTGGCGCGGTGCGGCCTATCGATTGAAAGCAACCGCGCGGAGAGGATCGATCACGCGGAACCTCCGACATAGTACATAGTAGGTGGAAGCAAACAGGAATACCGAAGGAGACACGACTCACGGTATCGGTGGTTCATCTGTCTCAGATTAAACCAGCTGCTACGTTGCCGAGCTACCGTCGCTCGAATACCATTGGTTACAGTTATATACAACCTGTAATCGAATATATCGGAGATACCGAGATTGTCGTTGCTGTTAGCTCTATAAGCAGCGGGCTAACATGTTTTCGCTTTCCCGCGATAAAGAAGAAGATTTGGTAATTTGTGTTGAGGTTTTTACGTATTTCGGAATAGAAGAGCAAATGCGTGGATGAATGTATCGTAGAAATTCTTTATTCAGGAACGTTAGAAATTAGGATTTCCAGTGGTTTCTATCCTATGTGATAATGTATTGATAGATGGATCTATTACAGTGGATTAAACAGAAAACGATGATCATTTAACGCGAATGCAGTAGTGTGATATCATAACTCTCGATTAACGACTATTCACTCTTGACTCTCCGACGGCTAACTGAACATCAACTGCTGCGGTGCCGAAATATATTGATGGCCGTTAGGCCTGTTGAAGTTTTCCGATCCTTTCGGCTTGTCGGCATTTGCGCTTTATCGTCGACATTGTCTGTATGTCGGCGATCTTTTCGCGGTACTATAATACAGACGAAAGAAGTCGCTGTAATGAGAATCGTTGTGCCAAAACATTAGAGTTTTCCTAGAAGTGAGATCCACAACAATTTGTAAAAGAGCACGAACAGATAAAAGATAGCGAAGACAATGATGGCGGAGGGGAAAGTTGATGGAGTTAGGTAGTTGTCGGATAGTACGGAGGAAAGTGGAAACTAAATTGGGTATTACGCATAGCGGCTACGTTATCACGGAAGGCTGGCAGTCGGCCGGATATCGAGTGTCAATATCCAAAGGATGTTGCGCAATATCGGATGAACGGTTCTGAAACACGGCCACCCTATCTCGGACATGCCACGGCATTAATATTCCGAGCAAGTTACGATGCAACCATCTTCTTGTTTTCATCGTTGATAGGAATACTCGCGCTACGCCACACGAACTTACGCCATTTTCTCCACCAAAATCACGTTCTCGATTCAATTCCACATTGTTGAAGTTGACTGACAGAGGATGAACTTGTAATAGGAAAATATATTGAAGTAAGTATAGGTACAGCTACAGTGTATGAGGTAAAAATCAAATAAATTGTTATCATTATTTATTAATTTAATGTATGATATTGTTGAGGTTAACTGATACAGGAACGAGTGGATGAATTTATTATTAGAAAAATATATTGAAATAAATAAAGCTATACGTGTAAGTACAGGTATAGTGTATGAGGTGAAAATCAAATAAATTGTTATCATTATTTATTAATTTAATGTATGATATTGTTGAGGTTAACTGATA